ACGCCCACATCAAATATAAAACACAAATACTTTCTCATGCAAATACCTATAAATGTTGTAGAAGAAAAACACATATCCCTGTAGGACTTCGCTGTGTGTAAAAGAAAAGAAAGAAAAAACTAAGAAAACAGGTTTTTGGGGTCTTTGAGGCACATGTAGATAATCGTAGGAACATCACAGCAGCTGAACAACTCTTCTGCTTGTTTCTTCAGATTTATGCACAAACCCTCTGATGGTTTCTCTCAACATGCAGATCTTGAAACTTTGAACCCGTTTTCCGTACTCGGGTAGTTTAAACGGTAATCCTTATGTCAAATTTAAATGCGTAGGATTTTGCAAACACATCTCGGTGCACTTTTTCAGCCCCATGCTGCGATTACCTAGAAAGTAGGCTAATCCCAAACGTGACTATAATACCAAGACTAATGTATTGTAAGCAGAGGAATGCCGTGTATTTTAGGAATGCATTTTTTTTTTTACACTCAGATCTGAACGGCTTAACAGTGAGGACTGTACTTGGCATGTTTACAGCAGCAGTTGCTTTCCTTTGACATCATGCCCATTGTGTGCTCTGTGCGGCGTCAATGTGAACTTTAGCTCACTTTTCTTTTTCGATTGTTTGGGCTCTGATTTCATGTCGGCACACCTCATCAACCTGCCTCATTCAGCTTCCACAATAGAATGTTCACCTTCGGTCTGAAGAGTTCTGACCTCGTCTGATTTACAACCAGCGGTTGTTTTATCTGAAAGTCATGCCGTGCTCCGGGCCTTTGCGCTGTCTCTGTGGTTTGTGGAGAAAAGTAATTACTACAGGGCCTAAAGCCACCAGCTCTGGCCTTTGGACCTCTGCTGCCACATCCTGAGCAGTGGCTTTGCTTTTAAAAGATCAGTCTTGCTCTCTCATCTCTCTTTCTCAGGACCAATCTGCTATTTTTTTTTTCCTCATGTTCACTTTGAACCGCCAACATCTCAGCGTCTCATTTTAAGAAATACAACACTTCATTATTAAGCCGTGTATGTCTTCATCGTCCACTTTTCATCTCCATCGGTGATGTTTTTCTTTGCTTTTCATCATTCTCTTCGTCATATCTTCATCTCCACATGCTGCTGCAGTACGGCCTGTCTTTGAGGGTAACCTCAGCTCTTTCCAGAAATTACCACTTAAAGGGAATTCCTCCTTCAGCAGCGGGCCTGCTGCACTGTGTCTTTGAACATTTGATGGTTTGATGGCTATAATTTGCTTAAAATAACACCAATAAAGTTATGAAGCTGTAAATGCCTAAATACCTAATGTACGGAGATGAAACGTAGTGCAGCCTTTGATTCTGCAGCCCTCCAGAACGTCTTGATGACTTTGCTTCTGTGGAATGCTTTTGGAGGTGCTGCTGCTGATGTACATTTATTATTTGTGCGCGATCTTTGAGCTGCAGGTTATTGCTCCAGCCTGTTGATTATCTCTAAACTGCAATGTAAACACGCTCTTTTGTGGCGTTAATCCAGGCTGTAATCTCATAATATTCTGCAATATTATACATTCCTGCCTAATGCAAGAGGCTTTACAAACATCACTTCACAAGCAATATGAATTAAAGGAGTAAGCAGCTGAATAAGAAGCAGCATTAAGCTATTATGACACGTCAGTAATGCTTAGCGCTGCGCTGCGTGGCTCGTTCTTCAGCACCGGCCAATAGGAGGAGGAGGCATCTTTCGAAAACAGGGGAAAGCCCTGAGCATGAAAAGGAGACGGACTCTCCTCCTCCTCCACCCTCCTCATGTCAGACGTACCTGTCGGACTCATTCTGAGCAGACACTGAACACCTCGGCTTAGTGGACCATGAGGAGAATTAGTTAAAGCTTCCTCCCGGGCTGACCTGAAAGGAGAGGCAGGTAAGATTGCAGCGGAGGCCCCATCTTGGGGGAGAGCACTTCATGGTCCTCAAAGTCTTGAGTAAATAGTTTTGACCGGATTCGCCCACGCTCAGCTGTAAACTGGCACCGGTGTGCTATCTGCTGGTGACTCATCCTTGATCCGGGGAGGAAGCCCTTCCCCTACAGGCCTCGTTTCTGCGTCATGTTGACACAACACAACGGCCCGCCACTAATCTCCATCATACCTGACCTCCTCCATCGCCGGGTCACGCTTTAGGGTTGTCACATGACCGCAGACGAGGAGCTAATAAGTACAAGGGCCTCTGATTTTTCCTAACTTTGTGATTTAGCTGCAGACATTCCTGCTCCCTGACAGGTTAAGTTGCATCATATGACAAGATGTTCCTCATCCGTGTTGGGCAACAACAGATACAAAAGGCAGGTGCGGTCGTCTGTGTCTATGTTTATAACAAATCCCCGCGCTGCTTGTGCAGAGATTAAACGGACCTTTCAAATCCAGTTCATGACAAGACGGAGCTGTTTGCACACGAACGGCACGGCGACCGCAACCTCCTGTCTTTTAATGAGCGAATAAACAAACCGGCAGACATAATAGCGCGAGCGCTTTTGTGGAGGGGGAAAGGGCAGAGAGCTAGTTAAAGAAGGAGTCTGGCTCCCACATGAAAAGAAGTGAGAGACGCCTGGGTGTTCCTCCAGCATTGTTCAGCCTTCTGCCTTTGAGGGACACCTGTCATTGGCTGGGCGGTCTGCACAGGTGCCGTAACGCCGCCTGATTTGTCGGCCTTGAAAGGAGGCTTCAGTCAACAGGTAGAGTGAAGGGGAACAATAGTGATGATCCCGAAGAAGAGAAGGAAAGGGAGAACGAGAGTGGGAGGAGGGTGGAATGGTGGAGAGAGAGAGAGAGAAAAAAAGAAGAAATGGATTCTTTAGAAAGCACCTGAGGGTTTGTGTGAGATAATCTGTTTGCCTTTTACTCACAGTCCCCCTTTGTAGGGCGGAGGAAGGCGTATCGCTGTGTTTGTAGTGCGCTGCTCAAGGGTCGCTCCTCCTCCTCCGAGTGGCCGCTTCACTTATCTATCTTCAGTTGTTTTTTTTTTTACCCCCTTCCTAACCTCGTCCGTTTCCGTGGTTACACAACCTTCCTCAACGCCTGACTAACTGGAGGGCAAAACTGGTGGCCTCTCATGGGCACCGGTGCCGTGCCAAGAAACCAGCTCCTGAAATAATGTGATACTGTTGCACCATCGCCACACACACACCCAGGCCTGGAGAGCCAAACAGCCGGGCCTGTTCCTACCACGTTGTTTGTGTTGACGTTTTCTATGCATGTGTGTGTGTGTGTGTGTGTGTGTGTGTGTGGTCCCGCTGCCAGGGGGAATGCCAAGTTCCCTCTCACCCCGCCAGGAATGCGGCAGGACGAAGCAGACCTGTGTGTGAGATTACCGCCAGAAACTAGTTAAGCAGTTAAAAGAAGCCAAATTGCAATAATGACGCCGTAAGTACGATTTCTAAATCACACACAGGGTTTGTCAGACGGCCTCTAAGCTGCACAAAGAAACGTCTTTCATCAGTTAAACCCAAAGACGCTCGCACATCACAGACCAGAAAATACAGGTAAATAAAAGGAGCTTTACAACTTTTAGCCACAATAAAAGCAGCCACTGTGCTTCACATTTGAGCAACACGGCGTTCAGAATGTGTAAATAAACCAACGCTGCACGTCCACCTGTTGTCCGTTTGCAGGACCCACGTCCACAGGTGGAGCCCTAAGCACCGGTGGGTTAATAAGCATCTCTATTTAGAGCCAGGCTGACCTTTTCAAAGAATGTCTCTCGTTTCTCTTCCTCCTTTTAACTGTGGCCATGGTGATAAGGGGACAATGTGTGTGTGTGGGTTGTTTTTGCATGTGTGTAAGTGCACATGTGTTGGTGTGTGTGTTGTTTCCTCTTTGCTACCAAACACTAACCAGATAATGGTAATTGAATGACAGTGTGTCCACTTTGTGTGTTTGCAGAACGCTTTAGAGGCTCGACTGTTTTCAGTTGTTTAAAAAAGTAGATTTCACAAAAGAAGCGTCTCAGGAGCCGAAGAAATCCGCTTTATAAGATGCATTTAGCTCATGATTTAAAAGTGTTTCTTCTGCGGAGCAACCAGCTCGTAAATGAGCCCGATCAGTCCAGAGAGACGTTATATGACAGTGGCCAGGGGATCAGCTCCCTCCTTTATCTGGGACTGGAATGTTAATGGTGGCTTTGTGATGGGTTCAGTTCTCCTGAGTGACTGACGGCTCGACTGGCAGCTCTCAGAGCCTCTTAATGGGATGTCTGCTGATAGACTTCAGTTTTCAAACACTGAAAGCTTTTCTTTCATTTTCTTTAGTTTCTTACCTCTGTGCTTGATTAACTGTTTATTGAACGTTCACAGTCTTTAAACCAGCTTGTGTGCTGCAAGTAAACACGTTTTTTTTTTTTGTTTTTAGCAAACAAATAGCCTAACAACAGAAACTGAGCCTGAAAGACAGAGCTCCTACATGCTTCCAGATGCACTCGTTTCAAGAATTGTTCTTTAATAAATGAATAACCCACCCGATCGCTGCGCTACCTGGTAGCGTTTCGCTGTGTTAAAATATTCTTAGAAGTCTGCTGCCAAGCCCAGAATGCACTTTATCCTTCTACAAAACTGTAATAATGTCAGACTTTTATAAAAATCCTCCCTGGCAGATATTTTTGAAATATCAAACAGAGCAGTTTGTTCTGCAGCCATGACCGGAGGGCCGACACTGGCAGCTGAAGAAGCTTTACTCTCCCTGTGTTGTTGCGGTATTGAAGGCCTGCAGGCATCTCTGAGATGTAAGCAGTCATCTGTCAGGGCATGCTGATGTGCAACACAACCAGATGACCAGGGAAGCTCTCCAGTATGCAGAAGTGATCATAACGCTAACATGAAATTAGGGACGAGGTGGTGATTTGAGCTTCGTTCTGGTCGATTAAATGCAGTGAAATAGAATTAAACAACCTAAGAATGCTTAAAGGGTTGTATCAGGGAACTGTCGTGTTTTGTGCCTTCAGTGATGCTCAGTGGTGCTGATTTGGCATCTTTCTGTCTCCTAGGTTACTTGTCCAAAGTGTTGAGGAACTACACCGAGCAGGCTTGCGACGGAGACTTCCTGTCCGTCCGCTGTCCACCCCGCACCACCATCACCGTCCAGTCGGCTTTCTACGGGAGGAGAGGAGCGTCCGATCCCCAGCAGTGCCCTCACACCTACCAGGCCCTCCTCAGTCCGTACAGCACTCGGGAGGATGATCGATATTGTTCCGTTTCCACTGCACTACAGGTACATAGCTGGTAGTCGTTTTCCACGAGCAAATCAACTCTTTATTTCATTATTGTTTTTAAAGGATTAACTTGAGGTCTAGCAGAGACTCCCAGACCAGGATCTCATTCCACCTCTGGCACTCGTCCCCGTGTTAGTCCACTCTGAGCACAACAACACAGCTTTTCCTTTTTGTGGATTCCAAACCCCCCCTGAGAGAAAGTGTAAATTGGTCAAATTGGCCAAAGGGTTAAAGTTTGGAGGACCACTGATTATGTAATGCTTTGTGGGAATGTTTTCCGGCAAATTACACTCTCTAAAGAGGAGGCAGGCTTGTATGTTCCCGTGACACAAAGCGATTTCATGGGGTCTTTGCCTCAGCATCCTCTCCTAAATTGGGATGTGGCTGGACTAGAAGCTCCGCTTTGCAACACCAACACAAACACACAGAAACACATCCTGCTCAGCATTCATTCAGTTGTTGGGTTTGTTCTTAGACCCCCCCTGCCTGCCTTTTAGCGTTGAACACCCACCGTTTCCATAATAGACAGGACGGCCATGAATGCACAGACACAGAGAGGCCATTGTGTGGAGGTGAGAGAATGACTGACTGCTGCGCCACACGTGAAGAATCCTGTTGTACCACCTGCTCGCGACCCCGCGGCCTGTTGGCATCACAGTAGAACTGTCTCCATATCGAAAGCTTAGCCTACGGATACCTGGTAATCTAATGATATTTAAATATCCACAAAGAAAATTAAAGTCAGCACCTCCCAGAGCATGTTTGGCCTTCATCAGATCAGTTCAGCACAGATTCTGTAACGAGCACGTTTTGGGCATTTTGGCTTCATGAAGAACTTGGTGATGATTAATTAGCTGCAGCGCTTCATGCAGGTTTAATTTGTCCATCAGCTGGTGAGGTCATCTTGTAATTGTTTCATCTGAATTCTCTGATATCGTAAATCTGGAAGCAGTATTTAGCACTTTTAATAGATTCTCCTTCGTAGGATGTGGAGGTTTTGCTTCATGCTGTAAATAAGTATTTCAATGTATTTGATGCACAGGATTAGCCTGGTGGTATATATATATAATAGTTTATCATTTATTAAAGACCAAAACCAACAACGTACATCCCTCAGCACATTTCCAAAACCTGCTTATGGTCCTGTTCTTTAACCATCTGAACCCCAAAGCCCAAAATTTTTTTGCTCCTGTCATATTTTTTTCCCACTTTGCGCTCATTTTTCACTGCAGTATGAAGTCCTGCACTTCTATGGAAATGGCAGCACCATGCCTGGATGTAGAGAGAACTCAGACATGTTGTTTATGCAGATATAATGCCATAAATTAGTAAAAGACAAACACAAATTGAATTATTATTAGTTTTACAAACGTTGAACAAACCTGGATCGACGTGTACCACAAACCTACCAGATTTGACAGATATTTTCTACTTTTTGAAATTATTTCCATGTTTGTCTCCCGTCCGCTCTGCGTGAACACAACCTGCATTTAAAAGTGCCAGAATTTTTGCTGCTTGGTTGCAGCCAAGTCACTAACGGCTTCAAGAAGCACAGAAGTTTTTGTTTTTCGCAGAATCTGGTCAGTGCAAGTGGTTTACTTTTGGCTTTTTTTAAACTGAGATATGTAGAATAAAACATTTTTTGATGAAATGTCACAATTTTCAGCTTCGATTTGATTTTTTCCCCCAACATGTCACACAGTTCATCCGGTTATGGAGACAGATTCATTCTCGTTTTTAAAATAATGGTTTAATTCTGATCATTTCTTTTAATAGATGAACCTCCCAGCTGCTTTTTGAAGTTCAGAGGGTTAAAAAAGCATGTGCTTAGTTTTTAAAAAAGACTAAATAATTTCCTTAAACAGCTGGACGCTGGACTTTTGGCGCGTTACTACAACAGGCGGGTCTGCTGCACTTGTTGGGGGACTATTTGCAGCCACAGATGGTGCTCCAGCGGCTATTTCCAGTCGCAGGGTGTGTGTGGGACGTACTTAAAATACACTTACAGTGGCCGTGCGCATGGTAGGGAGGGAACACGCCGGCCATGTGGCTTCATCGATTTATTGTTTCTGGACACACGTGGAGGCACACTTCTGGTTGTTAGCAATAAGAAGTTAAAGTTTGCAGACATCATTGGTCACTCGCTGCAGGTGTATCTGATGTATTTTAGGGGGAAATGCACAAGTAAAGTCTCTTATTTTACCCCGATGCTTCTCCCTGTGCTGCGTCCCTTGATGTGTAAAGCAGCTCCTTTAATGTTTAAAGTCAGGCGAGGCTCTGAACAGAATCCATTCAGTCATTCCTCAAGCCACTAGGATTTCAGTACGGGAGAATGCGGCGCGTTGGAATGTGCTCACCTGGGTTAGAGCAGGCTAAAAGATGATGAAACTAGAGAAGCGAAACGATGCCAGGAAATGAGTCGAGTGGAGCTTTCCAGAGTTTTCTTTCTCTCTCTCTTTTTTTTTTCCACTTACCTGCTCCTCTCCTCCATATTCCCATGGCTATAAGCAGCCTGTTTGAAGTGGTTTTAGGTTTTCGCCTGCTGCTGCTCTCGCCATCGTTGGCTTATTGTCCTCCCTCTAAATCTGTCTTTGGTCTTCTCCCGCTCTGTGTCACTCTTTCCTTCTTTAGAAAATGCTGGACGAGTGCCAGGACAGAAGGAGCTGTCAAGTCCTTGTCAACAGCCGCGTGTTTGGGACGGACCAGTGTCCCGGCAGCAGCAAATACCTCATTGTCTGGTACAAATGCAGACCTAGTAAGTCCCTCATCACCCCGTATCCTAACAGCAACATGCATATCTGTCCCTCCCCGGGCTCCGGCCGTTCCTTCTCTTTTCTCACACAACTCCACACTGGGTCAGAAATACACCAGGGTGAGGCCGGCTCATGTGCACCAGGGACACATCAGATGGAACATGAACAAGCAAAGCAACTCCACAGTGTTATTTTCTATTTATACTAAACAAGTGAGCTTCTAGCCTCTGCTAGGGCTGCAATTTACCACTGTCTCTCTATTGATTAATCTATTGACTGTACCACTGGATTAGTCAGTTCATCAGCATGAAAGAAAAATAAAAGAAAAACGACTATTTTATTGAGGCTAGTTTTTTTTTTTGACAAGCTGTATGTCAGTGTTTGAAATGGAAAGAAAGTTTTAGGGATATAAACTGAAGTGCAGCTCCAAAAGAAATCCAAGTTTCTATAAAACCCTTCAACAAAGTGAATAAAGTGAAGTTCTGGTTTATAATAAACAAACTGCAGCATGAGCACGGTGGATGTTTTACAAGCACGAAGCAGCTAAAGCAACTGGCTGTAATGTATAATGTAATGTATTGTGCAGTCCTTTTGGAAGTAGCTTTGAATTCTATTTCCTGTAAATCTTTAACTCACAGCACATGCAGCCTTTAAGTCGCGTACAGTGAGTTCGTCGAACAACGTTGGTGTAAAATCAGGATCTAAGCAGCAGCTTGGAGGTGACTCCTGGTTAACACGTAGTCTTCATGAGCTGCTCTTCAGCCTGTCAAGGATTCAAGGCCTTTACTGGTCACGAACACAGTTATACACGGTTTAATAACTGTGTTTGTGACCAACAAACAGGAACATTTGTGAATGAGAACAGCTTTAATGGGAGTTTGTTCGTATCAGAAAGCGTTATAAACGAGCACAGAGAGCAGGAGAGAAGCAGACAGAAGCAAAGTGTCTCTTCTCCAACTAGCTCCTGTGTGTTTGTCGTCACATTTCTGCATAGAGGAGCAACCACCCTTTTGTTCTTTGACAATTTAAAGTGCTCTCATTCTTTTGAAGTGTTGGATCTTTGGGAATGTTTACATTGAACCTTCCTGCGTCTGCCGCCAGTGTCTAGAGCCGTCTGTCTGGAGCTGACTGAGGCCCAATATCGGCTGGTGTTACATAGAGATAGCAAGGAAACACATTCATTAAAGTAATTTTTAAAAAGATCTGTTAAACATACTGATGTCGATAATGCACAGGATGACTGATCGCTGCAGCTCTGCTCTGTACCAATGTATAGACAGTCTGTTATTAGCGTTCCATGTTAGGATTGGGCGCACGTCCTCATTTCAACCAACAACTGTCACATCAATATTAGTGCAATTTTCAGTCGTGGTGCGTTTATTTATCTCACGAGGATGTTAAATGTGGAATTGACTCCTGAATCATGATGCAGCAACATGACACGTTTGCTATTCCTGTGTTTTAATTGTTTGGTGGAAACTATGGAGGAGAAAGTTATACCAGAGGCAATACTTAAAATAGGATTCATCAACCAAAAGAAAAATACAGATTTTTTCTTCTAGCCATATCTTTCAGAAGGCGTTTTAGTTTACTTTTTGTTCAACCAATTTCCCCTCCTTCTGTTTATTCTACACTGAATTAAATGTCACAGCATCTCAGGAATTCTCTTTGCTGCTTCTTTAAAAAAAAAGAAAAAAAAAAGCCTCTGCCCTTATCCCTCTCCTTCTTTCTCCCCGAGAGGCAGGAAGCTCAGAGTATCAGTCCAGAGGGGAGCCACAACAGAGCAATAATCCCACCCAGATTCTAGTGTCCATTCGGGGCTCAGTGCTGTGCTGAGCCGAGCCGCACTGAGCTGTGCAAAAGTTCACACTAGAGTGACCACAAGTGAGCGTTAATCCACTGATCCCCCTGCCCTCCCCACTTTTTCTTTCTGCGCCGGACCCCGGGGCCAATCAACAGCTCTTTGTTCGCTGTCACTTAACCAATGACTTCTCGGGGTAAGAGAGAAAGGACGCCCGGGGTGTTAGTGAGGTGCGACGGGCAGGTGTCACTGCCTCTGAAAGGAGAGGTGGACGCCGGAGAGAGGAAGCCGAGTGTGAGAGCGAATCCATCACCGGGAGATGGAACCAAGCGGCCCGGCCCATTTTCTCCGCTCTCTGTGTCTCTCTGCATTCCTGTTCCACTCCCCACATGGACGCAGAAATGGCTGCTGTTGTGTTTTTATTTGCAGGCCAGTGGAGCTGCTCCTCGCTGTCACAGGTCACTGTGGCTGGATGTGTGCGAGGAATGCCTGTGCATGGCTCTACATGTCCACCCGCCGTCTGTTTCTGCCTGTTGACGCCCAAAGAAGCCTGCAGTCTGCCCTGCTTTCTCTGCATGTGATAGGCTGCTGGTGTTTAGACGATCAAATGAATTCTGCGCAACAATCGTCTTTTTAAGCAATGAATCTGAAAATATGCAACTTACGAGAAAAGAAACACAAGTGCTAATTTATGCAAAGAGTTTTTTAGAGCCTCTAATCACCCCATATTTAATTAATTACATTATTTATTTTAGATTTTGTGGAAGGAAGCCATGCAGTCATAAACAAAAGCTTACATATACTTGTAAAGATCATTACATCGTGACTCCTGTGACTCCTGAAACATCTTTATCACAAAAAAACAATCATGAGTTTTGATTCGTTCACAGTTTTATTATAGATCTTTTAGAAAAAGGACAATATTTGCTCAGTTAAAACTATACATATAGCAGCTCCAGTTGTCCATTTTGGGGATGCAGAAAGCTGTGTTCATCAGGTTTTCTTAGTAGCTTGACATCTTTACTTAACTACAGCTGCTGACTCCTCTGAGCCGGTTTAAACAGGACCCATGTGAGAAGCTGAGGCCTTTAACCCCAAGAACACCAAACCTACCGTCATGCATGGTGGTGGCAGTGTTATACTCTTTATGCGGAGTGAAATAATGGAAAAGGAGGATTATCTCCACATTCTTCTTAAATCATCAGCCAGAACAACAAGGTCGGCTCTTGGACAACTTCCTACAAACCAATGAGCCCAAACACACATCAAAAAATCAGACTGGATTTAAGATTTCAGACGGACCTTCCCAAAGTCCTGACTTAGACTTCATCAAGTCTGGTTCAGAAAGCCAACAAATTTAGCCGAACTGCTGGAGGAGTGGTTAAAGACACAACCAGAAGCTTGTGGACGACTACCTAAAGGGTCTAGTTGAGGTGAAAATGACCAAATACTTCCATTGCTGTATGTATATTTCCTGACCCAGTAGATTTTGGTCATATCTTCAGAAAACCTGTAATAAATCTATGAAAGATACCTGTGGTTCAACGATTCCTTCATAGAAAAAACAAAAATTAAAACGTTTCTGACACACCTCGGAAGTCTACCAGGTGTGTCAGAAAAGTTCCAGGACTGGCGTCACAAAATCTATATTTTAAACCCAAACTAGGAGTTTTCCCCTTCAGACCATCAACCAGCTCGTCTACAGAGATCCTGCAGCGTTTGCTTCGTCCAGAAGAGGCAGAGTTGTGTCAGGACCAGTGGAGGCTGCGTCACCATGACAACCTGCTCACAGCGCCCTGAGCATCCCACAGTTCCTGCTGAGAAGAACATCTCCTCCCTACTCACCCCACCTGGCTCCGTGGGGTTGGTTCCTCTTCCCCAAGCTCAAGGGCTCATCAAGGAGACCCGTCATGAAGACGTGGACGACATGAAGATGGCTGTGAGGACGGAGCTGCGGAGGATACCAGATTCAGGAGTGCATGACGGTGTGAAGAGAAGGCTGGAGGAGGGTGGTGGACTCCAGGAGGATTACTGAGAAGTTGTAGTTTGTAGTTTGGATTTGAAATCTATTTTTTGTGACACCAGTCCTGGAACTTTTCTGACACACCTCGTATGTGTATTTCTGACCCAGCAGATGTTTAATCTATGAAAGAACCGAAACTCATGATTGTTTTCTTGTGACACCTGTGGTTCA